TACTCAGCTCTTCAATATTTCTTGGTAATGTTTATGAAATAAACAAACTTGGGCATCAGGTTTCATGCGCATGTCCTTCAGGCCATTTACAGCAATTAAGATGCCCGAGCTCGAGGCTTTAATGTACATTACATTGTCCGACTGTTGCCGCTTGCCCTTATGCATGTGTGTGTGTGTGTGTGTGTGTGTGTGTGTTTTTGCGTGTGTCTGTGTGTTTTGTTAATGAAGCGTATGGCTGACTGCGACTGCTGGCTGACTTAACGGACTTTTGGTTGCCAGCTCGTCGGATTTGGTGGGGATTTGCTCAAATGAAGTGGCGTCAAGCAAAATATTTGCTCTGCAAGCAACTATTGCCTGTCTGCAACTACTTTTTTGATTCTGTTTTTTATTTCAACTGTCAGCGAGAACTTATTGCCAGTTAGAGTATGCAGAGCAAGAGCTGGTCACGCCCACGCAAATGATTTTGTATTTCTATGCCGATTGCATTTCGAGAATGGCAAAAGGAAAACGAAAATTTGTTGAACGGCTTTCATATGGTGCGCATTATTATTAATATTGATTTTAAGGGGGGAGAGCCAAGCTTGTGTCTGTGATGAGAGCCTGGCGATGTCCTTCGCACATATGATGCCAGATGCCCCCCCACACACACACACACACACAGACGCAGCCTCCACGATATACTAGAAGTAGTAGTTCGCCATGTGGCTGATAAAAATAACAATAGCAGCCTTTTTTTTTTTCTTTGGCTGCCGTTTTGAACCCAAAAGATAAAAGCGCCCCGCATTTTTATGCTTGTATTGTTTGCACGAGCTTGAGTAAAAAGAGAAAAAAAAAATAACAAATACGTGACAGAGCGTTGGAAAACGCAGCCTGCGCACAACTAGGCGTCATTTCAACAATAATGAAGCCTAAAATGATTGTGATTAGATTGCTGCTGGCTGAAAAAAAAAAAAAATAAATAAATAAAAAAGGAGACAAGCTCAAGGAATAAAAGCGGGCACTTAATTAAAGTAAAGTTCTTGGGCTTGGGCTGCGTTTGTTGTAGATAAATGACATTTTAAATACAATATAAATAATAAAATACAATGTATATTTAATTCATAGCCTAAAGAGAAATTTAAATATGTAGAAGACGTGACTTTAACTTAGTCGCTGCAGCTAAGTTGTTTGTACGCCAAGAGAAATTGAGTTTTCGTATACCAATTTACGGGGCATTCTTATTATACCATGAAGTATGTAACGCATTGAAGCGGACATCTCCGACCCTGCAAGGCATATATATTCTAGATCAGCATCAACCGAGTTGATATGGCCGTGTCCGTCTGTCCGTCTGTCTGTCTGTTTGTTTGTTTCTATGCGAATATTATCTTTAATCTCTCCATATATCCGGCTGTCTGTGCAGGCAGTACATATGTCGGCACCGACTGGATTGGATCATTTTATCATTTATCTGCCAATAGGAACGATCGGTCGAAAAGAAGTTTCTTCAGCGAACTCGGCATTTGTTAGGTTCACTATGCATCTCGGATCGGATTGCCTCAAGATATTGTGTTCACATGAACAATCAACCGAAAAGTAGGTTCGAATAAGGAAAACTCTTTTGTTTATCTTTACCTAACTCTGTATTTACAATTTGAACTATGCACTACTACTTATAATGTATTACTACTATTATGTATTGCTATAAAATAAAGCGGTTGAAAAATGAATTTTTATATATCAAAAGATTATGTTTTTCAATATATTTTCATTAAATTTCCCTTTCCCGAGTTTCACTATTCCGCAAGGAAAATGTCTGCAAGAGTATTAAATGCTCGGCGTGTGCGTACCTTCTCGTTTATTTTTTTCGTAAGTAAAAGAAACACGCTTTTCTGCGAAAAGTGGCACACACACGCACGCAGCAAGCGACGCGAGGCTGGCCTGCAGCAGCCACAGGAGCAGCAGTTGGCCAGGCTAAGTAGGCCACTTTGGGTGCAGCCACGAAGCGGGTCCGCCAACCGTTTGAGCCCAGAACAGCACTTGGAATGCTGCTTTGTTAAGAGTTTGAAGAGCTGAGTTGAGTGGAGTGTTCTCATGCTTCATGGGCTGCAATTCTGCAAGTTTGCCAAACCAGATGATTGACTTGTCTTAAGAATTGCTAATTTCAGGCACAAGCTATAGAGTTTCAACTTACAAAATCTTTCATTTGTAGCTTAAGCTGCATTTTAACATTTTTTCGAATAATTCCAAAGGACTGCAATGCACATGATATGCTGCAAATCCTTTACAAAACTAACTAGAATTATTTTTATTCCTAGTCAGCGAGAAAGGTAAGCAGATTATGTAACATATATGTGTGTACACAACGCTACATCCACGTGCTTATGCCACATGAGTGTAGCAGTGCGTCTGTGTGCGTGTGTGTGCGTGTGTGTGTGTGTGTGTATCTCACAGATAGCATTAACAATGGCACATGCTGACGCCAGTTGGTTTCGCAACTTTTCAACAGCTCTTTTTCAACTGTTTTTATTAGTGATTTCCGTTGAAAACAAGCTAAATTATGCGCATTTCTTTTTGCGACACCTGCCATAAACTTTACTTTGTTTAGCTTAAATATATCTGAAAAGCTCGAAGAAAATGAAAACTGTGTTCAATATACTTTGGCTGTCGTTTTTTTTAAGAGTTCTTTGCAAACATTTCACTTTTTTTAATATATGACCAAGATAAATAATAAATAATTGTTTTTAATTTGCCGATAATTGTAATTTGATAAATTTGATTTCAGATTTAATGGAAATGCAAGATTAGATTTTGAATCATTCTTTTTAAAAATAAAAAAATAACTCGAACGAATAAATGAAAAACAAACTCAAAGTATCTTTCTCTTCAGCGCACTTCAGATAAAGAAACAATCAACTTTTCGATATCCATAGACTGGCTCGTCTATTAATGCTGATCAAGAATATAAGTATAAGTTTTATTTGGCCGAAAAAGTCTCCTGCCTATTGCGTACATTTGCATAAAATACATTTACATATAGCTCGGGCAATTAAGTTAGTTGAACGCTCATCCGGCCAACATGTTGTGCTTTTAACTGAAATATGCTAAAAATGTAGGCCTATTAATTCATAGCACATGCAGTCAGTGGCCTCTATTGTTCGTCATAAGCCCATTGGGCAGATAAACGAAAATCTAACTGGGCATTATGCTCATTCGGCTACTAATTGATAGGGCACGTGCCCCACAAACAACGAGGTAAACAATCCAGAAGGCAGCTCACCTCTGTCTGAAAGACAATGGCAGCATTGATTGCATGGCTCGATTGCCTGCTCGTGCCTGAGCATGTGAAACTGAGTCGGGCCAATTGAATAATGCAGATGCACATGTGCAAAGGGTCCGGACAGACCAATTCATTATCGATTGCGTCAATGTGTAGCTGCAATTGGATATGCAAAATTGAGCCACTGTGCGCTCAGACAAGGATAAAGCTTGCGAGCTCACTGCAAAAGAATGCCACAAAAAGACCATAATTACGAATCAATAGCTTTGCCGGAGCGCACTTTATATATGGTTGTTTGTTTTTAATATGTTCCAATGATAAATGTAATTGTTATTGTCGCACTTATTCACATGTGTATAATCAAAAGGAGCAGCGCAGTGGATAGCAAATAAAGCCCGAAACTCAATCGAGAGTCGACTTGTCAACAGCTCAACAAATCAATCATACGCAGCGTGGTGCGTGCTCGCCTGCTAGTTAATGCGTGCCTGTTGGGCGTGTATTATCTGTGGCACACACACACAGACGCAGACATGCATGTGACACTCGGATTTATAAATAATACAGCCCACTCATTACTCCAAACAATAAGGCTGGCTTCCAATTTCGTCGAATGTGTCATTATTGAATTATTTAAATCTCGAGTCGAGGCCAACCAAACAAATAATGGACAAGAACAACACATTTATTGCAATTGGATTGGGCAGGTGACTGGCACCTGCCACAGTTACAGTTAGTTCAGTACAGTTCCAGAACTGACTACAAGTTGGCAAACTTTTGTAAACTTAATTAATTTAAATGAGCTTGCAACCTGAAGTCAACTGAAACTCAATTTGACGATGCATGCAAATTAACTCAAACTCGAATCCAACTAGTTAAGAGATGTTCTTGTACATTAGCCTACTTAAGTACAAGCTCTGCAAGTCTAGTGCTGACAGTTGATACAGCCTTGATGTACTTTCGTCAACTTGCAGGGCTGAAAAAGGAATATCACGTTGTGCAATCATATCAGGTTTTGTCAAACGAATCAATGGCAGCTAATTGGCATACAAATCGTTAAGAAGGATTTTCTCTGAATCTCATAATTGTGATCAACATGCACATAAAAATAAAATAAATAAATAATTAATTAATATATAAACATTTGTAAGCAAAAATATGTTTTTATGTATAAACAAAAAATGCCAGAAAAAAATGAACTAAAATAAATAAATAAATTATTTACTTATAAAATTGAAAAAAAAAATATATATATATATATATATATAAATTAAAAAGTAAAAAGGCCATAAAAAATGAAATAATATAAACAAATAACTAATTACATAAAGATTTTAAATTATATATAAACTTTTGTAAATAAGGAAAAAACAATAAGATTAGAGGAAAATAAATAATAAATAAATAAAAGAAGAAATGCCATAAGAAATGAAAGAAAATAAAAAATTATTATATATCTTAAAAATTAAATTTAAATATATAAACATTTGTAAGCAATAATCAAAAACAATTAATTAAAAATACATAGACATAGAATAATCTTTTTTATGTCCTTGAGAAAAGTTTCTTCTTGAAATAAATATCACTTTTCTTAGTTGTTTTTTATGAAGATAAACAATTTTAATTATTATTTTCTTTTTTGTAAGTTTTATAGATTTTGGCAATGATTAAGCTAACTTTTAGAGGCAGTTGTTTATTTAGCTTAGACTCCGATGCTAAGCGATAGGATTGTGGACGCACATACCTGAGATTCTCAATGCGTGGCCGGCGGCACTGCGGACGATTGCGCCGATGGCTGCGATCCTTTTTACAGCGGCAATCGCAATGCATGATGCAGAGGGCGATGGATGAGATGACCGTTATCACAAAGGGGACCACAAAAAAATGAATGATGATGGCCTCCTGATCGTCATGATTGTAGGATGTGAGGACGACGGTCTTGTTTTTGCGCGAATAGAAACACGGATAGATGGCGCCCTCGACGCCATAATACATATTGAAGTTCTTGCACGTGACAGTGGGCGGATAGCCGCATCCCTTAATGTTGACCAGCAATGTGGCCTCACCGGACTGCTCCCACTCGGCGGTGTAGTTGGTATAGTCGGTCATGTTCTCTGGTATCGTAATGTTCTGTTCAATAAAAGTCACATATATGTGCACACAGCGATAGAGATCGGAGGTGCAGCCCTCACGGCAGGAGCTCCACGAGCAATTGAATATGCCGACAAGATCCTCGCGACGCGTTGTTGTGCACAGCGTTGGATTCTCGATAAAATCGTGGCTCAGTGTCGATATGGCTGGATCCACATAGAGCGGCACCAGAAACAGCAGCGATGCGCCGGCCGTCACCGAGAAAAAGGCGAGTGTGGAGGTGCCATAGAAACGCGCACGTTCCCGCCACGAACGAAAGCGCCGATTGCCATTTTTCTTTTTTGGAGCCAGTTCTCGGATTTTACGTAACCGTAGCTCTTGTTGTTGCTGCTCGAGTAGTAATTCCGAACTGCCACTCCTCATATTATTGTCGGTGCACCCAGGGCGCTGATGTTGCTGCTGATTGTTGCTGCTGCTGCTGCTGCTGCTGCTGCTGCTGCTACTGCTGCTGCTGCTGCTGCTGTTGTTGTTGTTGTTGCTGTTGTTGCTGTTGTTAATGCTGTTACTGCTTTTCCTTTTGTTGTTGCTTGCGTTGACGCTGACGTCGCCGTCGGCGCTGGCGTCGCAGCAGCAGCTGCAGCTGCAGCGACGTCACCACCCGCACCAGCCAAAGCCTGCGGCTGGGCCTGAGAGCTGCTCCTAGGGTTAGTCGTTGTCGTTGTCGTTGTCGTCGGTGTTGCACTCTTCAATATGGCAGCAGGCAGAGCGACAAATCGTGAGAGAGAGAGAGAGCGAAATGAAGAAGGCTGGACACTTGCAGCGTATGTCGAAGCTGACGTTGACGCTGACGCGGACGTTGCGTTGGCAGCGGCAGGCGTCGCTGCCTACCGCAACATCCAAGAGCGGCACGAGTACGCAGCGAACGCGAGACAAACTTTTCGATGATTGAGGTTATGTACACACGCGTCGACGCAGAAGGAGACCGGATAAACAGCTGTTTTACCAACCAAGCCTCACACTCGCTGCCCACAGAAAGCGCTACAAATCACGAGAGAGCGAGAGTTGGTGGGAGGGACAGACAGAGAGAGAGAGAGAGAGAGAGATAGACAGAGAGCGCGCGCGTGAGTACCTAATGGTCAGGGGTTGTGTATAGGCAGGCAGACAGCGAGTGTGTGACAGAGATAGCGCGCACAAGATAGTAAGAGAGAATGCAAGAGAGTGAGAGACAGAGTCAGTCAGACGGCGAAAGGAAGACGCTCGGCAGCGTCTTCATTTGTGTTGTATGAGTTGATTTTTATTTTTGCTTTGCTTTTTATTATCGTCGCGGGCAGCTTTGACATTTGCATTATACAGTTAGTACTTGTTCTGTTGTTTCTAATTGTTATTGCCGTTAATTCACTGCGATTGTTGCTATTATTGTTGGCACTGGAAAAAGAAGAAGCAGAAGAACAACAAGCACATGAACAATGGCAAGGGCGGCAATTAACAAATTGCGGTTTATGCGTGCGCCGCACTCGACAGCTGTTGATGTAGGTTAGTTTGACGAGAGAGCGAACAGCGAGCAGCGATTAAACTAGCGAGTGCGAGAGAGCAGCGCCCAAAAAAGCACGCTGTCAACGTTGGCAGCTACGTCAGCGTCAACGTCAGCGTCGACGTCGCGAGCAAACTGTTTGACTTTCTTTTTAGTGTGTCGCCCCACTGACTGTGTAATCTTACTTTTTTCTCCTTTTTTTTCTTTTTATGGATGGAATTATTTATGCTACACATTTTGTGCGGCACAATCTAATGTTCTTGCCATAGTTGTTGTTATTATTTTTGCATTTTTCTCGACTCACGTTCAACCACAAAAAAAAAAAAAAAAACAGATATGCTTGATTTATTACAGTTCCCACCAAATGTTCAATGTCTGTTGACCACCAAAAAACTGCACTAAATCCAGCAGCGTACACTGAAACAATCTAAGTAGGCGCTGCCTTGCTCTAATAGCCCATCGCCTAGTTTATTTAGTGCTAATCAAAAAAGAAAGTATCTATTATACGAAGAGCTGATGATTTATAAACTGCTTTCCAACACTGTTTGCTCAATTATTTCATTCAGCACTTGTCGCGAAACGAGGAAATTCACTTCAGAACTATTTAACTATAAATAAAAAGAATTATTAATATGCTTAATGCTTGTGACTTTTAAAAAGAGTAAACAACATCTGTAATAAACAAATATAATTAAAAAAAAATAATAAATAAATAAACAGAATGAAATTAATGAAAATTAAATAAATATATGAATATAATAAAACAAAAGAATATAAATAAAAGTATATAATATAGCACAATTATAATTTTAAATAATATATATATAAATATAGTTAATAAAAATAAATAATAATAAAAAAAATGGTGCTTCTTTTTTGTTACTATTTTATCTAGTTGTTTTTATTATTATTTGTTGTTGTTGCTGCAATTTTATTATTATTATTTTTCAGTATGCTCTTCCATTCGAATTATTCACTTTTTGGGCCTGTCCGCATGACACCCACTATTTACCCACATATTCAGTTTGAGGATTTTTGTTTTTATTGCAGCTTTGCGTGACTCTAAATGTTGGTCACTTTCACACACACACACGCACACGCACCCACACACACAGTTTGTTTTTGTTGCGGGTGTTTGGAACACATTTCACAATTTTAGCAAACACACACACACACACACACACACACACACACACACACACACACACACGCACACGCACACATACATGACATATATGCCATGCACGTGTTTGCGTGTGCTGCCATGTATTTCGGATGATTTCATTCATGTATATGTCCTGCATCGTGCGTTGAGTTCTATCAACTGGGCACAGGGCGTATGAGTAATATCATGACAGAACAAGTCTGCCAAATGGTTAGAGAACTAACTGACTTTGCTAGACTTTGTATTGAACTCCTCTTTCAAGTTCTGTTTCTTAAACAACATTAAATTCCATTCGCTGCTCGCTGCTGGCGCAAATAATTGTTGCTAAATACAGCCGCCCATGCCACGCCTTTTGCGGCTAGCACTGACTATGGCAAAAAAAAAACAATAAAAAAAAAAAAAACAAACAAAATGCAGCCAAGTATCTAAACTAACTTTTGACAGTTGAAATCGCGCTGCTCCGCGCATTGTTGCCCCCTTGACAAATTTGTTGCTGTTGTTGCTGTTGTTGTTGTTGTTGTTGTTGTTGCTTCACTGGCCAAATTTGAAGATTTGTGTTGTTGTTGTTTGTTTTGTGCACAATGTACCGCCGATTACAGCACAGAATTTGCCATAGACTAGGGAATTTGTTAGCCTTTTCTGGCTTTTCGCAGGCAAACACACGCGCGGGCACACACACACACACGGACACAACACAACACAACACACACTGAATCGAGACGAGAAGCGCGAACGCTGGGCCCTGACGTGCCTCTCGGAGTGTTTGTCCAAAACTGAGACAAGGACCCGACTCCGCACAGGACTCAAGTGTAGGTGTCTATGTGCTTGCGTGTGTGTGTGTGTGTGTGTGTGTGTGTGTGGGTGGCGTCAGCTTCGCAAAGTCGACATGAGCAGCGCTGGCGACGTCAACGCCGGCAGCGACTCTTTGCCGAGTCTGGAGCATTCAAAGGATTCGCATTTGCGCACTTCGTGCACTCGTTGTGCTTGGGAGAAACACTCGTTGGCTCAAGCACTCGCTAGTTGCCTGTTACCAACAGATGCTACACTGCTTGCTCTACTGCCTAGAATAAATTAAACCAAGATACAATTGTCACAATCTGCCACTTATTAAATAAACAAATGGATTTCAAATAAATAAAATAAACTTTTGCAAATTAAAAACAAATTCATAAAATTTTAACTCGTTGTGAGCAGAGCACTGCTTGAAACTTAGCACAGACAACAACCTGCATGCACTGCTTGCTGGCGCTTATCGTATAGTTTGGCTTACACTGGTGGCCGACTGGTAGGCACGCTCTGCTTTTTGTACCCTCAAAATAATGGTTAAAAAGGATATATTGGTTTAGTTGAACAAGCAGAAGGCAGAATCAAAACCAAGTCAAAATAGAGCGGCTAAGCCGTTACTACTTTTTTCTAGTCATCATTGGGAACACATTTCGTTGCGATGCTAATGAGAACAGTTTTTTTTACCAATAATATTATATATACATATATATTATCTTTAATTTGAAAAATAAACTTTCTATAGTAGATTCTTTGCATATTCCATTCAAGAGCGGTAGATTATAAAAATATTAAATATATTTTCGCAACGATCTTTGAAAATATGATTGTAACTAATCCGATGATTGGCAAAAAGATTAGCAACTTTTGGTATATCAAAGACGGCGAGCTTAATATACTAGTACCAATTATTGTTATTTGGGGTTTGGTATTTTTTAAGGTCGCAATTCGATTAACATTTATTGTCATAGTAATTGCGCTGAACGAAGAAATTATCAAGTCGCCGGACTCCATCGTGGAAGTATTTAATAATCAAGTAAGATCCTTTGGTTGATATATTAACTATAAGCTGCAATGGCTTTTGGTGCTGAAAACGCGAACTATGTTGTTTATATATACATATATATATATATATATATGTGTGTGATATATATATATTCTTTCCGATTCCGACCGATTATTTCTAGAAAGATACCTACCTTGTAACGACCCATTCTCTGTACGAAATATATATATATATATATATATATTTATTTAACCTTCTAACGAGAAGGTAGGTATCTTTCTAGAAAGAATCGATCGAATGTTCATTCAATCTACATACGATATTGCTACAGAAAACATCTGTTATGAACGGAATTATACAACACTACATAAAGAAGAAGATACGGGCTTCTTCTATGAACCACATGGAAAATAGTTAATGCCGATTAAAGTTAATATAGATATCTAATAAAAAGTTTTCCATAGAACAACTTAATTTTCGACCGATCGTTCCAATGGCAGCTTTATGATATATGTAGTTGTCCGATGCAGCCGGCTCCAACATATATATTCTATACTATAGAATATATGTACTTTCTAGGGTCGGAGATGCTTCCTTTTGCCTGTTAGATACATTTGCAAAAATCCATTATACCCATTTTCAATGGATTCGGGGTATAAAAAGGTGCGACAAAAGCTGGGATAGTCTACAATATAACGTCCTTTGGATGGCATTCGCCAGTCAAATATTTGTTCGAAAAATTGGTTAGCCTGGTTAAGGAATTGTTTTTTCTCGTTGCTAAAAGAATTTATTTGTTGGTATTTGTAAGAGTTAGTTGCATACGTTTGTTGGATACTAATCATTGCTGCGGAGCAACTGTCAGATTGGGTTTCGGTAGCGAATCTGCTGATTGGAAGATTCTATTGGTTGAACATCTGATCGAACTGAAGCAGTATTCATTACAGCAGGGTAAGGCTCAGCAGCATTTACAGTTCTCAAGAATAACCAAATGGCAGGGAACGCCGCGATTACTCCGCTCCATTAAACTCGTAGCAAATCCAGTGAGTCCAAGCGCAGCTCCATGTAGCTAAAAGTGGCTCACAAGATTGAAACGCAGAGCCGATGCCTGCATAGCCGATTGTGCCGAAAGAAATTCTGGGACGGAGCACGACATCATGCAGGAATTGCTGCAACGGAGGAAAACAATCCGCCAAAGGACTGGATGACTAGAGAGACAAAGAGAGAGACAAAGAGAGAGAGAGAGAGAGAAAGATAGAGAGCAAAGTTTAAAGGAAAGTGTGGTAAAATATGGGTTGGATGAAGGGAAAGGAATGCTGCGGAGGAGTGGATTGGGTATGCATAAAAGTCAAGTCGGAACTGAAGCTAAATATTCTCACAGAAGATCCTCTGCGAGAGTAGAAAAGGGGCCTTTGTAAGAGACATATCGCAATCCGGGATAAATACTATAGACTGTGCGATCATAGCTTCAGGGACGATTTTTTCAGAGTGCGCGGAAACTTCTGCGGTTGGTAGATGAGAAGCCTAGAAAGAAGGATTTAAATAAGGACGCGGATAAGATCGCTAAGAAATACGAATTATTGTGAAATACATACACAGTCAGTACGCGCCGACATACACATATGCATGTGAAAAAAAAAAACAGCTAATAGCCAGCGCAAATTCGCTTGTCAAACTAATCGAGTAGGCGACATATCCGTAGATGGTAACTAAAATTCTATTTGATAACATATCGCGGCTTGTTATCAAATACAAATACTTGTGAATTTCGAACGATTTAACTTAGCCAAAAACACACTATCTGTTCTTGCCTTTGCAATCTTATACCGAAGAAATACATAGCATATTGATTGTGAGTATATTCTATAATAGATCTTGTAGCTATCGTTTAGTAAGTGGACACCCTTTGGTAAGTAAGTAAGTAATGCACACATATACAAAGATACATACATACATACATGCATGCTTACGTACATACTCACAAACATACATTCATGCATGCATACATACATACATTAGTACATTAATACATGCAGACACGCCCACATACACACATAAACATAAACATACATACATGCATACATGCATGCATACATACATACATATATACAGACACACATACATACACACATATATATATATATATACATACACACATACTCAACTAAACTCAAGATAAATTTAGCAGGAATATTTATTTTATTTTTATGTTGAAATGAATTTTTATATAGAGGGCTTTGAAATTAAATTTTTAAATAAGAACCAAGGATGAATGGATTTTCCGAAAAATATGAATTTGAACAAAAATGATTCTACACAAAAAAAGTTTCACACAACCGTTTCTCACTATTTAGCTTATCTTCTAGTCGAAGTCTCCTATTATTTTCTTTTATTGTTTTATACGCGTATGTCTTTTTTTTTAGCAATCAATAGACACTGACTCAGTAGCCTGGTACGAGTGTTCTATGAGTCAGCCAAGAAAAAATATTGCATTGATAATATGAGTGAAGAATGAATGTAATGATATTTTGATTTGCTTTGCTTATTTGGTTATTTGTCTTCCATTTGCTTGCACTTCTTTCAGGCAAAGATGATTCTGAGCTTGGCGCTCATTTTGAGTGCCAGTGTAGAGCCCTTCGATTCAGTGAGTAGAGCTGAACTAGATTGCGGCTGCTTCTTTCACGTGGAGCGGGTCGCGAACTGCTCAAATCGAGCAAGCATTGACTTTAAGTGCTTGAGAAAGCGAGCCCCAACAGAGCTCTGGCTGAGGTGGAACAACTATTCAGCAGTGCCAGAGGAACTATTGCACGATTTCAATAGCACCAGAAAAATTGATCTATCAAACAATTATATAGAAATGCTGCCCGCTGGCATTGCGGAATCCCTACCACAGTTAAGACATTTGGTTCTCGATCACAACAACTTCTCTGACCCAAACGAACTCCTGCGTATCAATATACGAGGCAAGGCGTCGATGCATTACAATCCATTTAAATGCGATTGCAGCGATCCCAACTATAAGCAAATCCTGTATCAAGCTAACGTACGCATATGGATATCATGTACAAAAGGGCAGTGCTTAATCGGGTTTTTGTCTTGCCTTTGCAGAATTTAATGACAACCGTCGTGTGTGCAAATAATACAACTGGCAAGCCCAAATCGTATCTGGACCTTTGCTATCAAGAACAAGGTAACTCGCGGATATGGTGGCCTTTAATAACAATCGTTGTTGTTATTTTCGTTGTAAATGTCATCATTTGCCGCAGATTGGCGTGAATATTGCAGTTTGCCATATTGAATAATAATATTAAAATTTACTAAGCTACAGTATTAGCATATCAGCTATAAATAAAAGAATCTTAATCTAAAAAAAAAAAAAAGTTACAATAGATATCTTAGATAGATACAATGTTTAAGGATAGCTGTCAGTTGTTTGGGTACATGTTCATTTTTCTAAAGGCGTCGTTTAGTCGAGGCTATAGGATAGAAAATAAGACATAAGATTATAAATGTTGCCTCATATTTTTATTATTATTAAGCAAATTATTTAACGTGAATACCACCTCCAGCCCAACCGACACGAACAAAAAAAAACCAAAAAAAAAACGATACAAACTACGACTATGTGTACAAATACAATTGCAAATACTTGGAAGCGGGGCAAGTTCTCGATTATCGGAAAAAAACTCGATCTGCGCAGGCACTAGGAGCATCTACATCTAAAATTTCAAATCTCTAGCTCTTATAGGTTCTGAGATCCTTCGTATGAACGTATATATGACGGATGGACGGACGAACGAACGAACGTTCGAATCGGCTATTGATACCGATCAAGAATATATATACTTTATGAAGTCGAATACGATTTACACTTTTTACCCATTTTTAACTAATATCTACCGTTTTATGTGTTTAAACTTTTTTCGTCAACAATTTTGTTTATCCTGAACAAGAGTACAAAAATATATTTGATCCATTCAGAAGTGTTGCATACTTTTTGGCTCTTACAAAAAAAAAAATGGTAACTGGTACACTGAGCCACCCTAATGGTAGGAGGAAAGCCTACTACAAAAGCTAACTGAAAGCTTGCCGCACCGCAAAAGCTTAAAGCGTGTGTGCCAAAGCTCATTGCTGAGCACCGTTTTCAGGGTAGGGGGCAACAACAGCAAAGGCTGCCCCAGTTTTTGCCAGCAGCCCTGACATGCAGCAAGCATAAAAGTACCCGAAAGTGGGTCAAGTAACTGGCGGCTGCCCTTGGCACGGCGAATTTGTCCTTGATGCTAGCGTTAGCGCATCCAATTGAGATGGAATACACGGCATCCGGCCTGGAGTTGGGTTTGGGTTGGGGTGTGCCAATAGAGTTTATAAGAAATATATTTTCTGGAGACTTTTTTCATAATTTTGATAAAGCTTTTGCAATTATAATTTCTTTTTAATTTAAAAAGTTCTATTACAAACGTAAAATTAGTTTTATCTTTTCTTGTATTTCCATCATAATAAATATGGGCGACTTGCGTTTAGTGGAGTTTTAATGGGCCGAGGGCTGGCCGGGCCCTGACACAGATACACACACACACACATACTACCTGCACACATATACATATACATATGTACATGCATTTACACATACACATAATTTCGTGCAGCGCCTGGAATGTGGGTCAACATATTTTCGCTGCTGCCTGACGCTGCTTTTTGACCCATTTTTTTTTTTTTTTTGGTTTATTTACTTCATTTCTCTTTTTTTTTGTATGTTGCAGTTGCCAAACTGTGTTGCAGGCGATATTTAACATACAATTTATGGCTGGTGGCAATTGCACTCGCAGTTCAAAGTTCAGTGCAACAACAACAACAACAACAACAACAACAACAACAAATGGCGGACAGCTGAGCTCAGCTTTGGGGTGGGATGCGGCACAGTTCCATGATCTGCGCCCAATTTAGTTGCATTGTCGTCTCTCGATGGGAACAATGAAAATGTTTGTCTGCCGACTGTCAACGTTGCCACGCACAGTCCAGGGGCAAAGACCAAGCGCAGTTGTGTGTGTGTGTGTGTGCGTGTTCGTGTGTGTGGCACGGGGAGCGGCAATTCGATGATCGGTGAAATTAGTTTGTTAGCCATGTCAAGTATTCTCTTTGGTTTTTTGTTTTTTTTTTTGTCACACAGGTGCCGCGTCTCTGGCTCCAGCGAACTGTGGCCAACCGGTTGTCAAAATGCTGGACATGACATAAATTTGTATCTGCAACTGGCAACTGGCAACCTGGCAACTGGCTACGTCTTGGCTTGCCACAGCCCGGAACGTACCGCACTTTGTTTCCACATATTTCAGCGCTCATCTTTGTCTAGAATTTATGCTTCCTGGCGCTGACGTGTGCACATCAATCAGACGACGCGTTTGCTAACTTGATGTTCATTATGTGCACAACGCTGACCCCTCACCCCCGGGCAAACAACAACAAGCTGCTAACAATGGCAACAAGCATTCCAATTGGGCCAGCACGCAACTTGCAACCGTTTTTAATCCCAATTTCAATGCCACCGAGGCTGGCTGTTGGCGTAGCGCCCAGCTTTGGCCTTCTCTGACAGCTTTGATGGACATCTGACACACACTTTCGTGGCACAAGCAAACACACACACACACACACACACACACACACACAGCTGGACAGCTGAGAAAGCAGCAATTGGACTCATTTATACATTAAGCAAATGAGAAGTTATAGAAGCTAAGCTAAATCATGATAGACATTAAAATAGAAAGCTTCTAATTTCAATGCAACTCCGCTCTATGCAAAACGTATGCAGATATGTTATCAATTTTTCCGATTAGCCACGCCCACTCAACCAATATTGTTATGTATATCGATCTATACTCTAATTTTGTTCACTCTAGCTGTAAAACGTAGATAAAAAGATCTCTCAATTGACCCCTGAACTTGCAAAGATTCAACTATTAAACCTGAATTAGAAATACAAATAACTGTTAAGCACATGATAAGAGCTCGCGAGAGATTCTTGCAGAGTTTCATCAACTGTTAACACTTTAGCTGTTGGTTAGACAAGGAGAGGCAATTGAAATGTGCACTGCGTACACGCCATTGGTCGCAGCGCTTTTGATCCCGTTAGCTTAGCTGTGAGCGCAGGAGCTATAACATTTGTGTGCTCTTCACTCTTACTGCATTAGTGCGAATGCCGGCGAAGTGAGCTTTCGGCGGCTGTTTAGTGTGTGGGCGTCTGTCCTGCAGATCGGTTGTGTTCGTTGCGCGTGTTTTAAAAATCGTTTCCTAATAAAGTCCATTTAACTAAAGTGTGTTAGGCGCGACTAACTTATGTTAACGGTGTGTCTGTGCGCGTTAGTTGTCAACCTATTTCATGTCTGTCTTTGAGCCGTGCTTCACACTCGAATATATGTAAATGCATTTAGATTTCTTGGTGCTGAGCTTTTTCACAAAGCACAAATTGGCGCGCATTTGCACATCCAATGAAAGAGAGAGAGAGAGAGAGAGAGCGAGAGTAAGCGCGCGAGAGCGCAAAGGGACGCAAGAGAGTTTCATAATCTTATACCATTAACAGAAAATGTTCAGTACATAATAGGATAATATTATGGTTTTTTTTTATATTTATAATCAAAATATAAGTGAAATTAGCCCAAATAACAGTTGTGCCTGGATATAATAGTAAGAATTAAAAAAGAAAAACAACATTAGAATTCAACAAAAAACTAAAAAAATATACGTTATGATCCTATTAAAACACACGGGCATTCTCTATAAAACACTACCAAGTATTCAATTTGATCGCTCATTTGCTCAGCAAAGGTCCTGATAGAAGTCCTATCGTTTCTTAACTTGATAAAGACTGCAAAAATGTTGACTTGCTTGATGTGAAAGTGGAAGGCCAACCCCAACGGTAAAGTTAAAGAAAAGGACAGGAATGTATCGAATGTTGCGCATGAGCAGGACGCAATGGCAGTCGATGAAAACTGAAAAGCTGAGGCGAAAATGGAAAGTGCGTATTGCTCCATCCATCAGAACGGCCAGCGCCCAGTAAAAGACGCAAAAAAAACCCAATAGCATGAAATGTTATGATATACCCAAAGTATATACACACACACATACACGCACAGATATATGTAAGTACATTTTATGGAAGTATTTTGAAAATCCGGTTTCGAAGGCAATCGAAACCAAATCGCACACACACAAACACACACTCATACGCAAAGCATGTATACAAAGGCAACAACAAAAAGATTACAGAAGAAATACAGATATCCGACTTATACACAGAGGAAGATAAAAGATAAACCCTAATTAATTATTAATTATAAATAATTAATACAGTTCTTAGTCCAAGCCAAGGAATTGCTTCGTAGGACTAGCTTAACATAGGAAAACTTTTTTAGCCACCCACCGGCGAGCGCCCACCGTGCGCTCATTCCAATCAGACGAATTGAGGACGCTGTTAGCTAACAGCAGTTCCCGTTCTAATTGACAAATGTGCGCTCTTACAATGTTAAGCGCAGCACACACACACACATACGCGCACACACTACATAGACTCTCTTTGACTCTATGAGAGCATTAGAGCGAGCAGGCTGACTGTTGATTTGCCCTCTCGACTGGTTGACCTATTTTCCAGTTTGGTAATATGCCAGTGAGTGTTTATTGATGTGTGTGTGTGTGTGCATGTGTGCGTGTGAGCGCGCCTTCTGTTGTTGTCTTGCTCCATCTAACGCTTTGTTTGGGTTTTGCTTTTTGCGTTTCTCTTCGTTTGGTTTGATTTTGTAACACACAGATTGCACCGGCAGTCGCTGCGTTGTTGTTGTTACTATTGCTGTTTTTTTTTGTTTTTTTTTTTTGTTTTTGTTTTCGTAACTGCGTATTTGTTGTAATGCCCAACGACAAGCGCTGGCAACGCTCCGTTGAATACAATTTGTGGTTGTTGCTGCTGCTGCTGCTGCTAGCAACTGCGGCTAAGGAATTTCCACTCAAGAAATGATTAATTGATTTTGGCAGATAGCACATCTCTGCAGTTGGGCGCCATTGCGGGCTACAGGTTGTCCAATTGCAAAAAAATATGCTTAAAAACGCTTGACAACGTCCCCCTTTGACCCACACCGTAAACTACGCAACGCATTCGGACATCTATCGCAAATGGCGTTTTCAAATGCTTTAGGCATGAAATCCACCCCAAAAATATCAAAACAACAACAACAACAACAACGAACGAGCACAGCATAAATCTATGCGCCTGTACATGAATTCGTATGTATACATGTGTGTAGGTATGTGCGCATATTGGCCCCTGTAGCGCTGATGGATATCGAAGCAGCGTACGCCCAGAAAACGACAGCCCCAGCCCTCGGCCCCGAGCCAGCCCCCGCATGCTGACAGCAGTGGCGTCGCTGTGGTATGCCTACACAGAGGTCATTCCAAAGGCAACAACAATGCCAATATAACAGCTACAGCATACAACATACGGCCAGCCAGCATAATACAGCAACAACAGAGGCCCCCCAAAAATCAGTGGAGATATGTACATATGTATGCACGTGTGTATGTGTGTATGTGCGTTCAATATTCACAGCAGCGACATCAACAACAGCAGCAACATCGCGGTGTTGCCGATGTAAACAAAAGCATAATAACAGCTGTGAGTTGCTGAGAGCGAAGAGAGCAAGATCACGCTCTCACCCACACACAAGTACACAAATGAAGTGCTCTCTTTAACTGTTAAACTTGTGACGTTGACAGAAAACCGGCCGGCAATTTTTATAGCAATGCCCTGCAATAGGAAAATGACTAACATGGCATATGTATTTTGACAATATGTTTAGGCAGAGTATAATTTAGTAGAGGAGACCGAAATTGCGGTGCTATCGACAGATATTCCTTATATACAAAATACAACATACATAGCGGATCACATATATTTTGTTTTGTTAAGAATAGCAGCAAAGGGAATTAATTAATATTTTGGCAATATAAGTTTAACATAGCATCAGTAATAAGTGAAGTGTAGCTATTAATTATAAACAATTGCATTGTATATTCTTGTTATCAGAGTATTAGAGGTTAGAGTACTTGGAAGTCATGCAAGCACAAGCAGTGTATTCTCATCTGTTATGTGGCTGAGTGCTTGCTGTGCTGTGCTCAACAGCTGTTTTCGCAACATTGTTGCTGCTCTGCCAACAACAGCTGTTATCGTGTTGGCAGCGTTTCCCGCTCTCTCTCTCTCTCGCTATCGCTCACCCACTCTCTTCGTTCTGTTGTTCGTATCGCGCACAGCAGGCATAAACATGCATACTCTCACACACACACACACGCAGGTATGCATACAAATACAGAGTTATGCGGCGCTCTGTTGACGTTGTGAAAAATGTTGACAAGTGTTTAACTTTTTGTTAACTGCGTAGTTTTTTTTGGGTTGGGGTTGGCAGCAGCAACAAACGACGACGTCGACATTTGCTGTTATGCTGGCAAACAGGCGATGATGGCGTCATAGAGACACAGATACACAGGCACACACATACATATGCACATACCCGCTGACTGACTGGCTGGCCATATTGATAAGCGCACTGCGCTGCTGCGTATTGATACCAATTGGCGTTAATTACGTGGGCAAAGAGGAAGAAAATGCCAATCTTTATTGTCCTGGGCTGTATATAATGGCAAAACTAATTAAAATTTACATACATATACACATGCATGTTTGTATGTACTTAGATACGCATTTTCAGTGCCAGTAGCTTGACACATCGACATAACAAATTAACAGCTAGTCTTGATGCTAACATTTTTCGATAGCCGCGACTGTTAACTCAATTGAGGCCTATGTTGTAAGTATGTGCGCGCGCGTGTGTGTGTGTGTGTGTGTGTGTGTGTGTGTGGTGAATGCATTTTCGACGCTTTCAAGAGCATGTTTCTCAAGTATTTTACGTATTATGTTGGCAGCAGGGGAAAAACTTGCACACATTCAAACAAGCCACACACACATACACACACTCACAAACACAACTGCATTTATGTTGTTTTTCAAAGCAGGTACGTACAAAAGCATAATATACAACAAGCCAAGCAACAGCAACAGCAACAGAGAGCAACACCCCAGACAGAGAGGCAGAGCAAGAGAGATAGCGAAAGAGCGCAGTGCTTGTGTGTGTGCGTGTGCTTGTGTGAGTGCTGCTCGCTGCGCGTAACTGTAACTCGTCGTTCGCTCGCTCAGTCTTTGATAGCCAACTCTCGTGTACAGACCGATAAGCGCTTATTGCAAGCTGCCCTCGTCGTCAACGCAGACGCCAAAAAACCCGAACAATCAAAACAATCCAAAATAATAAAATATATATGGAACAGAAAACAATTGACAACAGTGTGAATGCTTCTTAATTGAAGGCAACAAAACGCATTGGGTAAGCCCCAGCAATAACAACAACAGCAACTACGGCGGCAGCAACAACAACAACAACAACAACAACAGCAGCAGCAGCAACAACAACAACTACAACAACTACAACAATAATAACAACCAACAAATAGTGCAGCATCAAAAGCAACGGACAGCAGATTGCATCCATTTTGCTCTCTTGCGCTTTGTTAGTGTGTTCTGTGTGCGTGTGCCTGTGTGTGTGAGAGGAAAGAAAAAAACTTGGAAGAAAAAGTGAAACGACCGGCAGCGAAAGCAGCGTGAAAGCAAAGCAAGCAATAAATATATATATATACATACATATATATATATATATATATATGTACATATATATACACACACATACATAGGCATATGTATTAATGTGCATGTAGAAAATAAAACGCCAATCAGCGCAATTTAACAACAACAACAACAACAACAACAACAACAGCAACAGCAGCACAGAGAACAATATAAAACATATCGATTAGCAAACAGATTAGAGAACAAAAACTGAAACAAACATTTTATGTGACATCAATAAAATAAAACAAAAGTAGAAAATTGCAAAAGATATTTTGTTAATTTTCGTAACAGTGTCAACTGGCTGTCAAGCTGACGTTAACAACGCTTAAAATTGGATTATGCTTAGGCACAAACGCAACAGCAGCAACGCCCAACAGAAGACGCACAGCGAGCATGTGAAGCTGGCCGGTAAACCAGATGCACTGCATCCCCAGTTGTATAGGAATACGCCCGTCCAGCGTTTACAGTTCAATCAGCATTTGAACCAGCGTGTCACGTTCTGCCTGGAGCTCTATCACAAGAACATTATCAAAAAACTATCCGAGCTTAGGAAGATTAACGTTTACAAATTGACCAAAAACGTTTGCCAGACTTAAGATACTTTTATTAAATAATACAATACAAAAACAAACTGTGTGCAACAAGTTGTCCAAGTGAAGCTCAAAGTTTTTGTGTGTGTGTGCGTGTGTGTGCGTGTGTGCGCGCAGCTGTATATGTGTGCGTGTATATACAGTAAAGTTGAAAATTCGAATTAAAAAAAAAAATACAAATAAAAAACAAAAGTGCAATACACAAAAAAAAAGAAGTGTGCAACAAAAATGTCAAGTGCAAAAAATGCTGCTGCCAGCCAAACAAGCCAAGTTCAAGTCTTGAATTCATAGTAAAAACTAAACAAAACAACAAACTAAAACAACGGCAAACATAAAAACGTAGAAAAAAAAAGTGTTTTCAAGTTTTGCAACTGCCACAGTCAAATTTAAAAAAAAAAAGAAAGAAAGAAAAACGCTAGAAAAACGCCAGTAAAACGCGCGCGCTGCACGCCAACAAAAGCTAAAATATATATTGGTAATATATTGGCCAGAAAATTAACACGAAAATGTCCACTAGCCGCCGCTTGGCCAAACGCTCAATAATTGGCACCAAAGTGTGCGCACCCGGCCCCGACGGCCTCTGGTACTCGGGCGTCATTCAGGACGTTAAAACGCCTACATCCATGTCCTCCACGCCGGAGCCAATGCCGCCGCCCACCTTCCTGGCACCGGGCGATGCCCAGTTGAACGCGGACACGCGCTATATTGTTCGTTTCGATTTCAAGACCCAATCGCTGCCGTCTGGCGTCGCCGCAAACGCATCAGGGTCCGTGTCCTTGTCCGCGTCCGGGTCTGCGTCTGCATCCTCGGAATCGGTTATTGTGGAGACGCGACGCGCCGCTGCCGCCGCCAATGTGCACATCAGTCCGGCTCAGGCATTGCGCCGCAACGCCATGACAAAGGAGTTTCGCGAATCGGATCTTATCGGGCCCGGCTTTCGATCCATTATGAGCATACAGCTCCAGCCCGGACAGCGCATCTTTCTCACCTACAATGGACGCGAACAGAGCGGCGATGTGGTCCTGCACGATGTCGCCAAAGATGAGGTGGTCGTCAAGATAACCCCAGCTGGAAATGAGGTGAGTCTCAAACTACAAACAAACCAAAGCCAACCTAATCCTAGAGTGATCCGATATTATTAATAATCTAAAGAGATTTGTCTATTTGCCATTGAGAGAGATAAGAAACTTGGTTATGACAGAAATAGATTACTCCATAGAAATATATATTGTATTTCTCGGATCTTAGATCTGAGTTTCGATCTTTCAGACAATGAAATTGAATATTAAATAATAAAAGATTACATATCTTTGTTTATTAATCAAATTCTGTTTGAATACATTTATATCTCAATTAAAGTTTAATTAAGGCCAAGATTTCATTTCAGAGTCCATTTGACTTTCCTGTATCAAATTGGGAAGCATATCTGAAAGATAGTATCTGAAGATAGTTAAGATGAAATATTCAAAGCAGAATTTAATCAAATTATATTCTAAAGCTTAAAATTGTATTCGCTCGAGACACTTTCAGTTTGTGCGCTTGAACTGTTTTCTTGGCTAATTAGCTCAATCGAAAGATTTAAAAAAAAAAGAGGCAAACTTCGGTTATTTGATTTGTGTGCCTCCACTTGGTTGCACGTTGTGTCCGCCCACGACATGACAACTGTGCAGCTGGCGCGGCCGCTGGGGCTGGCGGCGTGCGTTAAAAAGTGTGTCAAGGTCAGCCCCAGCCACAGCCACAGCCCCAGCGAGAGTCACAGCTATAATGTTGTGGGGCGCTTCACATACTTACACATGTATCTATGCATCTATGTATCTATGCATCTATGTATGTATCTATGCATCTATGAATCTATATATCTATGTAGCTATGAATCCATGTATCGTAACAATGCATGGCGGCGCATAGCATGCACATTATGTACATGTTTTTGTGCACTTATGTGCATTCGCTGTTTCTATGTCTTTGTGACACGGCAAATTGGTTTTGGGGGTCGCATTTCGCGTTTCAGAGTCACGTAACTGGGTTAACACGGCTAACTGAGTGTGGCCTTCTTCTTCCTCCGCTGCCCCGGGGATGGCCCAAATCCAAAGGCAAACCCAACAAATTGCTGTACTCCAGTTGTCGACATCATCGTGTGCTATATGAAATATAAGAACCCAACAAATTGAGGCTAGATCTTACATTATGCAAAAGTTTTATCATAAAAGCTGCCCTGTTTGATTTCAGAGTTGATTCTGCAATCTTCCTATAACCTGATCTATCTAAGGAAAATATATAGAAGAGATGAATTGGAAAAACTAAATTTTTTATATAAAATAAAAAAATAATAATATTTGTTTTCCCGGGACTACCGATATTATACAATGATATTATTCTGACTAATTTTGATGCTTTATCATTATTATTAATATTATTGTTACTTTATTTATTTTTATTATTATTATTAGTATAATTATAGTAATATTGAGTGTTATAACTGTTATTTTTACTCATTTATTATCATTATTTTTATTGTTATTATGATTGTTATTAGTATTATTAATATTATTATTATTATTATTATTATTATTATTATTATTATTATTATTATTATTATTTGTATTATTATTATCATTATTATTATTAGCATTATTATTATTGTTATTATTATTATTTTTATTATTATTATTATTATTATTATTATTATTATAAAAGGTGGTCTTAGTTGAGTTAAACTTAAATATTCTCAATTGTTGGTAGATCACTTATTTTTCTCAATTATTATATCATTATATTTTAAGGTATTCCATTCCATTAATAAATAACCGGGTCAACCTTCATTCCCGTGTAATATCTGTTTCATATATAAATTGTGAACATAATGAACAATTGGTTTAAGACCGTTTGGTATGGGGCAACTGTTTGCTTCTGCGAAATAAACTGAACTCATCGGGGTTCATGTTCTGTGCTGCGAACCTATGCTCCAAAATCATCCGTCTCCGACCACAGCCCCAACAAAATTACGTCACTCGAGCGACGAGCAGCCCGCACGATTAGAGTGTGAAACATCGTTGGGGCATTTATAGAATCGCTCGATTTCGATGCTGATGCCGATGCCGATGCCGATGGCGATGCCAATGACGATGCCATCGATGTCGTAATGAAAAATTTGTTTAGCATTAAATTCGTGAAAGAATGCGATAGACCAAAAACGAAAAGCAATGTGCGTTGCATGTTCAGGGTTAGATAAACATACTATATGCTACTATGTGGATGGGGCGTTCGATTCTCACAATTCGGACGTTTTTCGCCTAATTATATAGATTGCTCGCCATTGGAATTGCTGCTGCTTAATTGCGTCATAAGTCAAGTAGATACATAAAATTATTGTTGATAGATGTCATTGTTACATGTGTAGTTAAATAAATGCCGCTGCACGTTGTACTATAAATGTAGATGTATCTGTGAGATACATACGCACGTTCCACGACTGAGACCGGCATCGGCCTCGAACTGCGATTTCTACATTACCTCCTCTATCTATCTCTACGTATCTCTCTCTCTTTCTCTGTCGCTTGTATTTTGCCTTTTGCTTGCGCTCGTTCCTCGTATCTACTTCCTACACTCGCAAGTTGTTTTGTTTTGTATTCTTTTTTTTTTGTTCGCCTGTTCTCTATCTGCTATAGCTTTTTAACTAATAATCGCTAAATACTCGTACGTTTGCAATTGTTGCACTGCACTAGGGCGTGCGCTAACTATGAGATACACAAATGCACAGATACACAGATACACAGATACAGATACAGCCATAGCTACAGATACAGCTACAGCCGCAGATAGCCAGTCTCAATGCCAACTCAGCTGCGCGTATCTGTTCCGTGTGGCTTGTCAATACGTTTGTCAGTAAGAGTCTTGTATGTGTGTGTGTGTGTGTGTGTGCGTGTGTGGTTGTATCTCGTAGAGCGCGCGAACCTCAATGTATCTAACGGATGCGCAGCGACAACATCTCATTCCAATGTGGCCCTTACATGCCTAAGGTTTCTGGATTGTGGTTTTTTTTTTTGTTTTTGTAGGCACACTTTTTATGCAGTTTCTAAAAATATTTAACCCCTAAATTCAAGTACATAAACATTTCAATGAAATTGACTATAAAAGTTGGTGTATAATAAATAATTAATCTATTTTTTTAAATATTAAGTGCATACTTGGGAGCACCCGCAAGCTTTTTGTTAGTTTAATAAGTATTTTTCCAGCTTAACGTAAGCTTTAAGTTAACTTGACTAAAAGTTTTCTAGCTTTATGTACGCTTTAAGTTATAAGAACTACAATTTTCTAGCTTTAAGTTAGCTTGACTAGTATTGTTTTAACTTAGAGTAAGCTTGACGTAAGCTTATTTGCATTGTTTCTTGCTTTGAGTAAGCTTTCAGCTAGCTTGACCACAATTTTTCTAGCTTAAAGCTCAACATGCCGCTGCTTTCAGCTTGCTTTATTAAGCCCTTGCGCGTTACAATCAAAATTTGTTTATGACCTCATCATTAGCTACGTTGCTTAGCCAGCCGGTCAGCTAGTTAGTAAATGAATTACACACCCAAAATCCAAATACAACTCAAGCTGAGTCGAAGCTCTGTGTTGTGTTGTGTTTCTTTATTTGTATTATTTTTAGCTAATGCTGTTTCCCGCAAGTCAATCAACAATTGGGCTTAAGCTCAGTTTCATAATCATAAAGTAGATGTAAAAAACAACAACAACACAACAACAACAATTGGAATATGCAGATGTATAAAGGTATGTATCTGTATCTAAGGCTGTCCTCGCATAGATGTTGGGGCATGTGATGCTCACGTGCGTTGTCTGCTGCGAGCCAGTTTCATATTTTATACAATGAGCCATTGTTGTTTTGCTTGTCGTTGTTTCTTGTTGTTGATGTTGTTTTTGTTGTTGTTTGTTGCTACGTAAATGGGGAAAACGCAGTCTAAAAAAATATTTGAATTTGAATTTTTGTTCGACTTGAGCAACAGCCTTTTGTTTATGGCACTGAGTAAACGCACACACACACACACAGACACATACAAAAGCTCGAGAGCCGGCCAAACTAGTTGGGGAGTGTGCCTGTGTGTGTGTGTGTGTGTGTGTGTGTGCGTGTGCTTGTGTGTGTTTGACGGAAACGTGAAGCAATTTATTCTAAGGTTATTTGAGCGAGAAACTTGTTGCTCGCATTTTCATTTCAATTACGATGACGTATACGCCGCGTCAGCCGCCTAATTGCCAGCCAATGAATCAGTGGCCCGCACGGCAGACAGCCCTATATTATTAACCAAGCCAATATGATTAAAGGTTCAAATTAAGCCCAACTCTTCGTGCAAATGTCAGGCGCCATTTATCAACTTATTCTTACATTTTTCTTTTATTTGTTTTTATTTTGTTTTTTTTTTTTTTTTTGCCTGGAGCTTTGCCGTTTATGCGTTAACTGCGGCAGCAAATGCTCGACTGCCGTGTCTTAAGACAAGTAGCCAGGCAGCGATTTGTTAGCTCGCACTTCCGCAGGGCATGGCCAGACCCAGAGCCCGGCTCCGTTGCCAGTTCTCTTCCCTATGCGAAGTGCATTTAAAAGCAAATTTATTTTAATGACATTGAAAATGCTGCTCGTGTATTTTACACGCAACTGCGTCGAGCTGCGGACTGACATACATTCATGTGTTTCGTGTTCCCAAAAACTTATACAAAAGAAAAAAAGAAAGGCAACTATGAGCAAACCGAAGGTTAAATACCCTTGCTGAGATATGGATTACGGCTTGGCAGGTGAGCTAGAAGCCAAGAGAGAGATTCGACTTAAATTCAATTAAAGCATGAGCAATCTTGAAATCTTGAAATAAAGGAAACTTTTCAGATAAAGCCCCAGTTCTCGAGAGATAACTTCTCTAGTAGTTATATGTTATGCAGAACTGACCGATCCTGCCATATGCACGGATTCATGACGATAGCTTAAAATATGAAAAATGCCATGACAAACTCTTGATGCCCTTTGGAAGGGTATAAAAAACTGCATTTAAGGCACATTTTGTTAAAGTTCGCATTCGACTTAATGTTGACTTCTTTA